GCGATTTTACAGCACAGCTTCACAATTATCTATGCTGGTTCACAGCACCGAGGAAGAAACAGAATATCAGACACTCCAACTTGAACAACAAGAGTTTTAGGGATTCAAACTCTAGTTCTATTGCCAGTAAGTCCATTAGCTCATCCAGCCCTGCTACTTCCAGGCTTGTCAGAACAACAGACCACTGACAGCTCTCCGGAGCTTAGCCTTGGGCAAAGACTTGCGTCTAATCGTTCTTCCACTATACCTGGACTTATCACAGTCATCTTATTGTTTGTACAGCTGTAGCACTCAAGTACTTCAGTTACAGAGCAGCAGGAGCCGTTCACCCAGATCCTGCGCAAACACTGAACAAACAGGCCGTTCCCTGCCCCAAAGAGTTTACTCTCCTCAGCCCATTACGACATCCTGTAACTGCTGGTGCAGTAAATCCTGGCCATATTCTTATTTCATGGGCTTGATCTCTTCTTACTTCCTCTTACTGGCCTTCCCTGCTTTTTCTCAGCCTAATGCTACGCTCTGAGTATGTATGATCATCACATGATGATCATATGATTTTGGGACCAAGATTATTCCTCTTAAATTCTCAGCAAAACTTCAGAGAAAACCTTGATGTTCATACTGGAACTGACCTACAAGCAGTAGGATGTGTAGGAAGCAGGAAACCAAGTGAACGTCACAGCCCAGAGGACAATATCGGTATAATCGGCATCTTTGTTTATTTTAATTTTCATCATTCACCACAAAATTCTCTGGGATGGTAAGAGGACTGGCCGTTTCCATATCATCTCTGCCTTAATAGCGTCCCCAAAGGCACTCCTCTCTCCTCTGTTTCTGGCAGCTCTAGTAACGGGCTGGCATTCAACGTATCTCAGTAGGCACACATGGATTTTAACAAACCCACTACATCTAAATGAAAGAGGCTGCCAGGCACCGGGCAGAGAAAAAGGGGAATAAGGAAGTAGTGAAGTTCAGATAAAAACTAGGTACGATATCCAGCCTCTCTTAACAACCCCAGCCAAGACATTCATACCAGAGTGGGTTGAGCACTGCTTTGCAAGTCGGCCTGCTACAAAGCACAGGTTCATACTGCACGGGTGGCAGGTCAAGACGCTCCTTCAGTGGGGTCAGAAGACAGGCCAGGGGGACAACCATCCTCGTGGCCTCCAGCCTGCTGGAGGGCCACACGTTCCAGCTGAAACGCACTCCATCACGCTCCTCATTTTGCTGAATGAACTCCAGATACGTCGCCATGGGACTGCAGAAGCTCTGAAAGGATATAAGCAACACGCGTTCAGACAGCGCTTGCCTGTTTGGACAACAGTCCTGCAGAAGAGGTCACCAGATCAACTACAGGTAGGCACAAGATATTGCAGGACAAAGCCAATATGTTATAATGAGTTAATCCCATTATCAAATGAACCATGTGACTACATTAATCTCTTCTGTCCAGTGCTCTCATCAACATCCCAGACAATTAAACCCCACCAAATCCAAAGAAGAAACAAGAAAATCTGACATCAAAGCCAGAATGCAAGTTTTTGCTCTTGTGATCCACATTTAACATCCCAATCCCCACTCAGCCTCAGGCTGGCCTCAAGGCAATCCTGCCTGACTCATGTCAGTAAAGGAAAACAGGTCAGATTTGCAACACATCCTGAAGCCTTCAGCTGAAACCTTGGGGGGGGAGAAAAGGAGGCCAAGTCTGAGACCAAAACACTCAGCACAAATGTCATCTGCTTGCCAGCCTGCCCTGCTTACAGATGGAAAGAAGTACATGACAAAAAAGCCAAAAAAGGTCTTTGGTGATTTTAGACACCCTCTGTGCATGGCACGGTGTCCCAGTCACAGTGAGGGAGGAATTGAGAGTCCAGCAGACTTCAGAAAAGACATGCTATTCAATGAGGGACATGCCCAACACACCAGACAAGTCACTCGCTGTATTACTAAACTCTTCAGAGTACAATGTGAAGAAGAGCTCCCAGGCCATCGTTACCTTTGATGTCTCCGAGAAAGGGAAGGACAAGCCTACCGAAAAACTCACTTGTTGAATCCAGCCCACAGACACCACACAGCACTGGCAGCAACTCACAGAGCCAAGAGCAGCAGCGCTATGACCTGGTCCAGCCGAGGAAACTCAAGAGGTTCACCTGCGGCTGCAGATGCTCCAGGATTACCTTATTGCTGGTCCTCACTGCAGGCGGGAGATTCAGGAGGGCCACAGGCATCAGAAATCAGAAGCACCACCTCCTCCAAAGGAGGAAAAGTTTTGATGTAACATTTTCCTACAAATCTCCAAACTCCTTGCCTTTTTCTTTGTCCGTGCTATTAAGGATGTAAATCAAGCTCACGGGCATTGCCCTGGATTTCCACCCCCCACCTCTGCGCGGACAAACAGAAGGGTTCAGCAACGCATCCCCACCACAAATGGGTCTGTCAGGGTAAAAGGCAGAGCTGAGCCTCCCTGTAAAAGATCCCGCACATCAGAACAGCAGATAAACACCTGCCACCTCGGGTATGCAGTGCGACCGCAGAGCAAATTTACTCCATGTCCCTCCAAGTGCAGCCCAGCATCACTCCCGGTTGCCCAGCTGGGTTTGGCAGGGGCTATGGCCCCGCTCTGGGGTCGGGAGAGCAGGAGGAGAGGCGTCCCCACCCCAAGGAGGGCTGTGTAGGGCCGGTTTAGGGCTGGGTGCCTGCCCAATCTGCCAGCCCCCCACCAGCGCAGGGCCCTCCGGCCCCAGTCCCCCAGCAACCCCCAGGGCCCGTCCCGGCGGTGGGGAGGTCCCAGGGCCCCCGTCCAGGAGAGGACGGACCCTCCCAAAGCCCCAGCAGATGAGCCGCCGTAGCATTCCCGTCTCCACATGGGATCTGCTACGGGGCACGCTGCTGACCCGCTCCCTCCAGCAAAGCTACAGGCAACGCTGCTGCTTCCTAGCAGCGCTATAGGGAACGCCACGGATCCCCCCGCGGCTGCGCTCGGCACAGCTATAGGCGACGCCACGCGTCCCCAGCCCTCCCCCAGGGAGCACACAGAGGCCACCAGAGATGGCCAGCGAAGCCACAGGGGCCGCTCCGACCCCCA